TTGTTTTTTTTGTTTTGTTTGTTTCCACTTCTGAAAGCAGAGTTTTTAAGAGGTTACCCCTTGCAGGGCGGGCTGGGCGCCCGGTCAGTGCTGGCTGTGCCCCCGCAGCCCCGGGGCTGGAACGTCGTGTAAGATCAGCCTCTTCTAAACCCTCCCCCGTGACTCAGTCTGTTCAGGCTGCACGGCCACGTTACACAGGCTCTTACCTGTTTATATTCCTAACTGGATAAAAATACAGAGCTCTTGTGTCTCTATAATGTAACAGCACATTCTTAGTGCACTAGCACAGCCTCACAGAAGCCTCTTAACGGGAGAAAGTGAGAAACGCTGGTGCTGTCACCCTTCTGTTGTAATCTTGATCTTTTCCCTCTTTCATGGTACATTCCCAGTGTCAGTTTGCTGCGTGGAGCAGTGTGCTGGCCTGTGGTGCTGATGACAGCTGAAAATGCACATCCTGACAGGAGAAAGTAGCCCATGGCCCTGGGCACAGGTGGCACAGCCTGCACAGCAGGGAGTGGTTCTCCTGTTGTAAGGAGGGGAGCAGGAGCTGAGGGGTGTGCTGAGGAGCAAGGACAGGGAGGCCAGGAGCCTCCCCAGAGATGGGCACTGCCTCCATTTAAATGTCAGTGGCTGTGGTCTTTCTTTGTGGACAGCTTGGGTTTTCATCAGTTTGGGGAGGGAGAGTGGGGAAAAGTTAGTCGTGTTGTAAACACCTACCCAGACACATCCCACACGTGGTCACGTGAGGGGGGAACAACACAAACAGAGCACAAAACAGTTGAGACATGGAAGTGGCTGTGCAGGAAAACCCAGGATGTGCCTGTTCAAAAGATTTTGTGATCATCTGGCTTTTCAGGAGAGAGACAGTCATGTTATTCATGCAGATTGGGCAGTTTGGCTTTTTGCTGTTTTCATTTGGTTTATGAACCTTCAGTCACTTCTCAACCAGAATCTCTTCATTTGGTGGTTCTGTTTCACACGAGATCTCTGCGTTGCCTTCTCCCCTTCCACATGCCTTTAAAACTGCTCCTTGAGCCCTCCTGCTGTTCTCCTCAACCTGGGTTGCTTCCCAGCTCTGCCCCAGCCCCTTTTCCTCCAGAGCAGGATCAATCCAAAGGCCACTGCCCGTGCCTCTCCCTTTCCTCACCCACGTCCTTTCTGCTCTGCTCAGGGGGTTTCACCTGTCCCCTTGCTCCTGAGCTGTTAGATTGCCTGTGAACTGCCCCAGGATGGGCACAGGACGTCCACCTCCTGCTGCTGTTTGCACACATGAACACGTTGCGTAGGCAAATTCCACTGGCACTTTGCTGATTTACATATTATCTGTCCCTCGAGCTGATTTTGTAAATGAGGCAAGAGATGCAGCCCCTCTGTGTGCTGGGTCCTGCCAGCCCAGGGGAGAGCTGTTGTTCAGCACACTCTAGGAACAAAGCAACATGTGACTGTTGGTGTTAAATATACTGCCAGTAGCCAACACATGATCATTGCCACATATCCTCTGTTGCTTAACAGTAACACCTAAAAAAGCTCACTGCAAAAGGGCTAAACAAACAGTTACTGGAGTCTTGAGCCTAAAAGCTTTTCAATAAGCAAGTAAATAAACTTTGGCAGAGAAAGTGCTTGAGGTTCTTTTATTTGGCTACCACCTGTGTTGAACAACAAAGAATGAACCATATCCCAGAATAAAAGATCTTCAGCTGCAGAAGGAGACACAATGTACTGACCAGTGTCTTCCCAGCTTGCTCACAAATGCTCTCCCCCCCTGTTTGGCATCTCCTCCTGTCTGTGAGCTGAGGGGCTGGTGCTGCTGCCTGTCGGGCTGCAACGACAGGCTGGGGAGGATCAGCAGGCTCATGTTTGAGATGCCTTCTGTCAAAGCCTGTGGGTTTATTGTGGTTTTGTTTTCCATGCCACACAGGCTCCTGGGTTGAACTCCACTTCAGCAGCAATGGAAATGGCAATGGAAGCACTGCCACCAGCCAAGAACAAGTACCTGCCTCCATCTCCATTCACAATGGGGACATGGAGAAAATACTCCTGGATGCTCAGCATGAATCTGGAAGGAGCAGTTCAAGAGAGAGTTCACATTGTGACAGGTAAACAAAATGCACTTTGTGAGCAAAGTAAAGGACACCACGACATGAAGCCATTTCTGTGCACCAGAGACAAAGACCAGTAGGATGTGTGTGCATGTACATATGCACCTGCATGCAGAGAGCAGGAGGCAGGAACACTTCACACTGAGAAGGCTGGTACTTAAGGAGTAGAGCACTGCTGGAGCCAGAAAGAAGTTCCATGGGAGAGGCCTCTCTCAGAGCTCTCACATTTCATGAAGGTGCCATCTGGGGTTTGGTGTCTCCTGAGGCACAAGTCAGCAGCAGCAGCAGCAGGGTGTCCCTGGCTGTGCTCAGCCTTGGTCTGGTCACTAGGTACCTGGGGGCCTCGTGGGGCTGTCCCTGTGCAGGCAGCCTCAGGGCTGGTCTTCAGAGAACAGTGTGCTGCTGACACTGCTGCCTGCAGCAGGAGAGAAAGGTGCAAAAAGCCCCTTGAGCTTTGTAAGGAAGTACATCAGTTGATGGTTCTTAGGTAGCTACTAAAGTATTGTTTTATCTCTAGCTTTCAAAACGTAATGGGGTTCTAGGAGTGTCACACAGCAAAACAATATGTCTGATGCAGATTGTCACTCAGTGTTATTAATTCTTTGGTTTGATTTTGATGGGCTGTGAAGTCTGCATCCTAAAGTTTATTTAAAAAAAAATAAATAATAAAAGAAGGAACTGCAGGACCCAAAGCAGACACTAGGCTGCAGGACCTCCCAGCCTGATCTGACTAGTCTGAATTCAAACCAAACTCCACTTCTACCCATCCTGTGCTGCCTGCTGTTATTTATTAAGTACCATGGGCCATATCCCAGAGGCTCCCAGGCCTGTGTCTCCAGTGCTGAGCAGCAGCTCTGTGCACCAGAGCTGGGCTGATGGATAGAAAATCAAACACTAATTGAATATGGGGCCTGGGTTATATCACCCACTGGCAGATGAATCTCTAAGTTACAGCCAGGGCACTGTAACCTTTGGGCAGAATGGTGCACGGAAGCTTCATTGACTGAGTTTTAGTGTGTACCATAAACAATGTAATAAAAAATGTCATGAGTTCCTTCTTAATTGTGCTTCTCTTTTCTTCAAGCCCTCCTCGTTCCCAGACGCCTCAGGACAGTCACAGAGCTTTGGAAATAGAGAGTCACAGCAGTGGGGAAAAGAACAGCTTTCAGGTATAAACCTCACCCTGCTCTGGGAGAGCAAGACTAAGACATTTGTTGTTTGAAAACCAGCATTAGGAATGAGAGGGAAAGCTGCTAATGGAGAGACTTAAATAACTTAGTAACTTAGAGGAACCTCTGCAGAATCAGGTTTTGTGTATTCACAGCTGACTTGAGTGGATTTATTTTTAATCTGCATTATGAATTTAGAAAGTGACTTTGACAGCAGCAAGATTTTCTAGAATCACTTAAACGTGGTGGCCATGAAATACATTTCTAAAGCACTGCCATAGCTTTGTGAGCACATTTAAACAACTAGTACTTTGCCTTTCTTCATGCTGCTTTGTAAAGCTCACTCTTATTCCTCATTTCATTCTAGATATTTGTTTACATACTTGTGAAGAAAATTAGTAAATACATTTGAGAAGAGAGTAGGAAAAAAGGACACTGTAGATGAACCATGTTTTATCAATCCATAGCTTATTGCCTGGTGACAGGCTAAAATCTTAAGTCTTCACTGTAATTAGATACTAGCTTTAATATGAAAAAAAAATACTTCCAAAGCATGTTGAAGAGTGAAGTACTAAAAATATTGAAGTCAATTTCCCTGCTCTTCCAAAGACTTGCTGTATTGTCTTGGATAAGTCACTCTCCCTGCACTGTTTACATACGAAGAGACCCTATTTTCTCACTAAGTGGAGGTGTGTTCTGTGCCTGCTCCTCACTCTGAGCAGTTAGGAATCAAGATTGTGTTTCGCTGGGGGCGAAACAAAGAGCTCAGGACCCTTGCATTTTAATTAAAAAAAAATCACAGATTTCTTCCATCACTCCCAGGTCCCCAGCAGGAGCAGTTGCTCTCACTCCACCGTGTAGTGTAACTGCTTTAATTCCAGAAAGAGCTCAGGACCCTTGCATTTTAATTTAAAAAAAATCACAGATTTCTTCCATCACTCCCCTTTTTTTGATGGCTGTTGTTTATCCTAGATAAATGTGTGCTCTGGTATCACCAGCTCAGGGTCCTTGATTTCCTTGGCTGGCCATACTAGTTCAGGGGTTATCTTTTTCTACCCAGGCTTACAAAGTTTTTAAAACAAAGTTTGTGTGTTTGCTGTTTGTTCAGTATTTAACCCTTTGGTTAAACTGCACACAATCCTAAATTATGCAGCTGTGTCAGGAATACAGGATTTAATCTGTTCTCAGCAGTACATGAGATGGGCTTGGTCCTGTTGCCTCTTCCTTTATCTGAAATGCTCCCCATCCTCTCCACAACTCCTGCAGGAATCTGGCTGAATCAATTCTCACCTTTAGGTTAGCTAAACACATTACTGGAAATTAGTTATTTTTGTTTTATTTTTCCTAAAAACTTTTCATATGTTTAAAGATCATTATTTAGATGTTGAGAACAAATAATCAGAAGTTAGGAACCCATCAGAAGTAACCTTCCCTGGACAGTTTTATTTCCATTCTCACCCATCTATATGAGCATATGTAGCTGCTTTAATTCTATGATCAGATACTATTTTTGTCTCAGGACCTTGGCTCCATTTAATGCTCACATGTGAAGTGAGAAGCTATGTTCTTACTCAGCATTTCTGCTGTAGTTCACTTGAAAACAAAGCCACAGATTGCCTGGGGCTGTTCTCTGCACAGCTGTGTGCAGACCTGGGCCCACCTCACCTGAGGGAAGGGGCTGCCCCCAGAGCCCAGAGGCTGGGATTAGTTTCACTTGGCTTGTAGGAGCTTTACTGTGCACCTTGGGATACATTTGACATCCAGCCAGTGCTGAAGGCTGGCTCAGAGCTCCTTCTGCCAAATGGCAGTCAGATGTGGGGCCTGGAGATGCCTTCAGGTCCTGTGTGTAAAAATGGCTCTGGTGTTTTACTTCCAGGGAAGTCTTCACTTCAGCAAAGGTGGGGACATGGGATGTGGCCTCTCTGGTTCACATCCTCCTCTGAAGACACATCTCCCTGCTCCCCCATCTTTGTCTGGGATCTTAACACTTCAGTAGAAGTGATCTGGAGAGCCCAGGGTGGGCAGAGGTGTGGGAAGAAGGAAAGGAGCTGCAGAGGTGTGGGAAGAAGGAAGGGAGCTGCAGAGGTGTGGGGAGAAGGAAGGGAGCTGCAGAGGTGTGGGGAGAAGGAAGGGAGCTGCAGAGGTGTGGGGAGAAGGAAGGGAGCTGCAGAGCTGGCCCGGTGTGCAGGGCTGCCGTCCTGCCTAGCGCGGTTCTGAGCTGTCTGATAGTTGCTCTTTCTTTCAGTCTGAAGAGGATTTTCTGGAAAGGAGGAGGGAAGTGGAAAGGCTGCTGAGGAAGAATGCAGATTGGATCTGGGATTGGTCCAGCAGGCCGGAGAACATCCCTCCCAAGTGAGTGCTGTTGGTGTTCTGGATGGACTCGGAGCAGCTGGTGCTTCCCAGGGCCCAAGCGTGTCCGTTAACGCTGTGACTGCTTCCTTCCTCCACCCCAGGGAGTTCCTGTTCAAGCACCCCCGGCGCACGGCGACGCTCAGCATGAGGAACACCAGTGTGATGAAGAAGGGCGGGATTTTCTCAGCGGAATTTTTGAAGGTTTTCCTCCCATCTCTGCTGCTTTCTCACTTGCTTGCCATTGGACTAGGGTAAGTTCAGTTTAGTTTTTCTTACAAAGAGGTAGATATTTCTACCCGCTTTCTCTGAGGCCTAATTCTGACTCCCAATTCCCTCCAGTCCTGCTCTTCCTCTGGTAGCTCCCTTGCATAAATCCCAGACCTCATCAGGTTGTGAAGGTTGAGGGGACACGAGAGGCTGGGGGACAGGAGGGAGAGCCCAGCTCTGCTGTGCTCCCCGTGGGGTCTGTCAGTCAGGGTGTACAAAAGCACAGGGTATCTCCTGTGCAACACGGAGATCTTGGCCACATGGTGCTGTGAAAGTAACATGAAACTAATGTAACTCCTTCCAAAATTAAAACGAGTAACTGGATGAGATAGAATAAAAGCATAATGGAATTTTTCCTTTCAAAATAAAGACAAGTTTGGTGGTGTAAGTACTGGCTGTCATCCTGGTCACCTCCACCACTGCTGCTTATTTGCATCATTCCAGCTTCAAAAGAAGGAATAACAAAGTCCCATCTTCAGAAAGTGCTAAATGTGGTATCAGTAACATAGTCCCACTTCAAAATCAGAATTTCTTTGAGGTACAAGAAGGACCTGAGTAGAAGATGCAATGTGGGGCATCTGTGAAAGCCTGCCAAGCTGGGAAATGATGACCAGGGCAATAGTAAATACGTGGAGATGGCAGTAAAATGAGAGGTTTGCAGGTGTCAGAGGTATTTAGCAAACAGAAAAAACTTAACCAAAGGAAAAAGGAAAAAAAGCCTCAGACCTGGTGACCTCCTGATGCAGTGAGTTCTTGCTGACCCGTGTGTTTCTGGCTCCCACATTCCTGACCCTGAGCAGCTTGCATGGAGTTGTTCAGCCCTAGGACCCAGGAGTGTCACCAGGCAAGGGTAGGCACAAAGTCACCAGCAACTCAACACTGAGTTTCAGAGTAGTCACTTGATTTGCCCACTTAATTATAGCTGGCAGTGCTGGCCAGGACATGCCCAGTAACCTGATGAGAAAGTTCTTTACGTGCTGTGCTGCCTGTTGGAGCTGAAAGGCAACCCTGGCTGACTGTGTGCTCCTCATCCCCAGGGTGTACATCGGCAGACGCCTCACGACCACGGCCTCCAGCAGCACCTTTTAAAGGCACCTGAGATGGAGCTGCAAAGCCAGTGGCTGGTGTGGGAGGGCAGGGGGTGAAGAGCAGAAGCGGCCGAGCCTGCGGTGACTCCCTGAGCGGGGTGTGCTGTTCTGTAGGTGTTGTGTTCCTAGAGTAGTATGGAAGGGCAAGGAGGTGCTGAAGCCAATAACTATCATAGCTAATCTGCTGGATCAATTCATAGAGCTTGTCCCAGCTGCACCCACGGCTGTCATTGCTTTGTAGTGAAGTATCTTTGAAAATTACGAGAGCTTGATGTTTCAAACCAACCCCAGCTTTACTGTAGCGATGGTGACTCAGCTTGGTGCTCATCTAACTGCTGTTCCTTGTACTTCATGGATGTGAATGTTTGTCACTGCAGCTGTAACCATGACAACGAGGGATTAGCCCAAGAAAATGTGTGGCCTCATGTACAACATTGGGACTTCAGAGGGGTCTTTGCCTCACTCGAGGCAGTTCTTTCCTTGTGTGGGTTTTGCTTCAGTCTTTCACTATTGTGTGAGGTGGGAAATGCTGGGGGGGTGGAGGGGAGACAGATTCTGCTGGGAAAGAGGAGTGTGAGGGAAATTGCACCTGGTTTTACTAGTTCAGAGCGTGATGCACAACAGCCTGAAGTAAAATTTGGACTTTAATGGCTTCTTTTGCAAAGACATTTATTTAACTCCCCAATCAATAGAAGTTCTTCTGTTGTATCTACTTGCAGACTGCTGCTTCTCAGTCTTTTTATCTGTACAATAATACATCTGCATCCTATATTTGCCTCATCCTTGTATAGATTTAAAGAAAATGGTTGCCTGCTTCTTTGTTTTTACTAATGGAATGCCTTTTCATTCAGTGATTTTACCTTATTTAATGAGAAGAAAGTGAATGTTTGCCAAATACCATGTTTTATATATTTAAATAAAAAGGTTCCTTGTGGATTCAGTTTTCTCATTCCTTTTTCTCTCCTCAGTGTTGAAAGTGGCTGACAAACTCTGTCTTTACACAAGTTTCACCCTCTTCACTCCCATCACTGACAGGTGTGAAGGTTCTGTAGAAAACGACGTCAGTGCTGCTGCTTAGACCTAATGTCACTTGTTACACCTTCATGTCCTGTGTAGTTGTTACCACAGGTTATTGTAGTGAAATGAAAACCACATTCTGTGTATTCAAACCATGTGATTTGCATATTTATCATTACCAGCACCTTGCCAAGTGGTGCAGCTGCCACAGCTGCTGAGAAAACCCTTCTAATTGACATTGCCACCTTGATTGAAATGAGAAGTGGCTGAGGTTTTTAAGTCACTGCTCCAGCAGCCCCTGGGGTCATGCCTGTTCTTTGTTTCTTTACAGAGACTAGACTCTCAGCCTCCCCAGGGGGGCTCAGCTGGGGTTTGGGGGGTCCCCTTTGCTGGGATTCCCTGTCCCTGCATGGACACAGCCCCACAGATGGGCAGGACACCAACAACAGGCACAGGACAGGACATGGTGCCTAATGGAATGCCTTTTCATTCAGTGATTTTACCTTATTTAATGAGAAGAAAGTGAATGTTTGCCAAATACCATGTTTTATATATTTAAATAAAAAGGTTCCTTGTGGATTCAGTTTTCTCATTCCTTTTTCTCTCCTCAGTGTTGAAAGTGGCTGACAAACTGTCTTTACACAAGTTTCACCCTCTTCACTCCCATCACTGACAGGTGTGAAGGTTCTGTAGAAAACGACGTCAGTGCTGCTGCTTAGACCTAATGTCACTTGTTACACCTTCATGTCCTGTGTAGTTGTTACCACAGGTTATTGTAGTGAAATGAAAACCACATTCTGTGTATTCAAACCATGTGATTTGCATATTTATCATTACCAGCACCTTGCCAAGTGGTGCAGCTGCCACAGCTGCTGAGAAAACACTTCTAATTGACATTGCCACCTTGATTGAAATGAGAAGTGGCTGAGGTTTTTAAGTCACTGCTCCAGCAGCCCCTGGGGTCATGCCTGTTCTTTGTTTCTTTACAGAGACTAGACTCTCAGCCTCCCCAGGGGGGCTCAGCTGGGGTTTGGGGGGTCCCCTTTGCTGGGATTCCCTGTCCCTGCATGGACACAGCCCCACAGATGGGCAGGACACCAACAACAGGCACAGGACAGGACATGGTGCCCAGGCTAGGCACAGCATCGCTCCTTGGGCATCCCTATGGCACCTCTGCCAGGAACCAGCCTGGGTGGGACGTGGGGCACAGGCAGGTGCTGGAGGACACACTGGGGGGGCTTGGGGTCACCAGGGCTTTAAGAGACCAAGAAGTTCCTCAGGGCAGCCAGGGAGCTGCTGCTCATGGGCAAGGGCTGTGCTGCAGCTCTGCCCCACTGGCCCAGGGTGACCTGCAGCTACTTGGTCTCTGGTGACCTCAGCTGCCACCGGCCCCGTGGCCACCAGGGCTGGGACAGGGCCAGCCTGGGAGCTCACTGTGGAAAGATGAGGTCAGGAAGGTGAAATCACAGAATGCCAGGTTGGAAGGGATCTCAAGGATCACCTGGCCCAACCTTTCTAGGCAATACTGCAGTTTATATGAGATGACCCAGCACCCTGTCAGGCTGAGACTTAAAACTGTCCAATGTGGGGGAATCCACCACTTCCCCTGGGAGACTGTTCCAATGCTGGACTGTCCTCATGGGGAAAAATTTACCTCTTGTGTCACATTGGAATCTCCCCAGGAGCAACTTGTGCCCATGACCCCTTGTCTCTTTCATGGGACTCCTTGTAAATAGAATCATAGAATGGTAGGGTCAAGGCACCTCAAGGAACATCCGGTCCAACCTTTCTAGGTAATTCTATATAGGGACTCTCCACCTTCTTGCTAGCCACCCTTTAAGTACTGGAAGATGGTGATAAGGTTACCCTGCAAAGAGCAGGACCCTGGAGAGCTGCTGCCAGAGCAGCTCCCACAGACAGGAGATGGAAACTGTTCCAAAGAGAAACCCCCATTCATTTGTATTTGGTGATGCACGGCTCATCACGGGCATAGGAAAGTCATGTTTGCTCCCCTCTGTGATTCCAGGACAGGGCAGTTGCATGGGAAAGGCCTTGCATACCTGCCAGGGTATCAGGAAGGCTACTCCATTTCCAGCCTTTGGGCAGGGTACAAAACAAGGGCCTTTGGTTAAAAGCTTGAGAGAAACAATTTATCAGACTTCTGAGCCTAAACATGGTGCTCCAGCATGAAACACCAGTTACTCTGAAGGGCCACCTCACAGGGGAACCCCAGGCTGGATTTATACACCCCCACCTTTCTTACTTCACCTTACCAGGGTTTTTTTTCTGCAGCCATTCAGCACTTCCAGAGTTTAACCCTGAATCCCATTCCTGCAAATTCCAAACCCATCCCTGAGAGGAAACAGGGACTTTTCAGAGGGAGGTTCATCTCCTCCCAATATTTTTCCATCACAGGGCCAGTGACTGCAGCCACCACTGCTGCCAGCTTGGTGCTCCCTGCAGAACGTGGCTGACAAGTCTGGTGAAGCGAGGAGGAAGCTCAACCTCCCTCAGCTTTGCAGGAGCTTTGACACCCAACGTCCAGCCCTCGGTAACCGGGCATTCGGGACCCATCACACCAAAATGAGCCACTCTTTCAAACAAGTTGCAGAAAACTCCAGCCCCAGCCATTTCTCTCCTCCCGAGCAGCTGTTACCTCCCCGGGAGGAGGTGCTGGCAGAGGTGGGTCGGCACTGCCGCTGCCTCCCAGCCCGCCCCGCACGGTCCCTCCCACCCCCCGCGCTGTCCCCAGCTCACCCTCCGGGGACCGGGGCTGCCCCTGCGCTGCTCGCTCAAGTCAAGGGTGGCTTTGGGCAAGTACCTGCAAAAAAACCAGCCATCTCATCAAACTGGCAATAACACTTTTAGAGGAAATGACGTGATAAAAATGTCATGAATCATCAAAAACTATTTAATTGAAAGTGGTACAAGCAAATCATGTTTTATATAATAGAAGATTTCATCATATCCTTTTTCTTTTTACTCATATTCCACTTACATCTGCTGAAAAAATAGATCAAAAATAGACAGCACTACTATATTCACTGAATATGAACAGACAGCTTTCTGAGTCAGAGGAATGACCATCAAAAACTAACCATTGAGAACGGAAATACAAACAATCTTCAGGGTGGCTCACCCAGCCATTGTCTCACAAACGGAAGAATTTGCCAAAATACACAGAGCAAGTCCAGGTAAACATTTAAAATTTATTAAACTTTTTGGTCAAAATAATTGAACAAGTATGTACAATCCCATGGTATTAGCTCTAGCATGTATTGGAGGAACAAGGTCAAATCTAACGCTTTAGTGACCCAGAAGTTCCACATCTCAAGATTTGCAAATAGTGTCACAACCAATATACAGGATAAGATTTATTTCTTTTTTAATTTAAACTTTATTTGTAGAACCTCAGGAGTTAGTTGTACTCACTAGCTTACTGTGAACAAGAGTGGCACTCTATGGACATTCATGGGGAGGGCGAGAACAGAGACATTTGCTCCTGCACATGGGATCTGAGGCAGGAATCATCAGACACCTTCATCCCAACAACACGGGAGTGTGAACCACTCTGCTGCTCTCCTCTGGGAAGCCCACGGGACCTCGTTTTTCAGAAAGCAATTCTAATTTGCAGGCACATCTCAGAGTGTCATGTCTAGCTACTCGATGCTACTAAACGTGCTGCAACAGCTCCAGGGACAGTTCCTCACCCAGGTGAGTCTGGGCTCAGCAGAAGGTTGATGCTTTTCAGGCCTCTTTGGGGACAATGAAAACCAAACAAACAAAAAAGTACCTAAGGCTTAAAACAAAGTTAGCAAGAAGAGAGTCCCAGCAGTGAGCAGCAGCTGGCTTAGTGTTTCCTGACATCCTGACCTGCACCAGGCTGTGCTGCTGCTTGGCATCACCAAGAGAGGGTTATTTCCTTTGCTGGCTGGAACTGTAATGTGAAACACAATATATTATGCCAAATATTTAAAATAAACTCTATTTTCATGACAAATACTAAAAAGGTTAAAAAACATAATGCACGTAAGGTATGTCTCTATCTAACCTCGAGAGGCATCAGATAAACTGAACTTTTATCTTCAGAGAAGAAAACATGTTAAATGTTGTTTTCCCTTGGGTGCAAGGTGGTCACTTGGTATTAAGGCTGTGGATGTTGTTGTACTAACCTTGTCAATCTCCTACTTGGTACACAGGTAGCATGTTACAAGAAAACCAGTGCAACTCAAACTAACTGACAATTTCATGGAAACTCTAAATTTAGAATTTGAAATACTACACAAAAGAGTTTGTATTAGTCTGCCAAATAATAAAAAAAATAATTAAATGTTTTAGGGCAAACATTGTCCAATCTGCCCATCAGAATTATCCTGCACAATCTCAGTACATGCAATAAAAAAAAATAAAAAGACTGAATACATACCTTCAGATTTAAAAACACTTTTTATACTTTGTTATTTTATTAAGTGGTTTACACCAGAAGGTGTGGTTATAGATACAGTTGGTGAGTAAATATTCATGGAAACCTGTCTACGAACCCAACTCAAGACCTACCTAAGTGCTCAAAGGTAAAAACACCTAAGCCCAGATCCAGGCCAGAGGAGGAATGTTTACAGGCATGAAGCACAATATATGTTTTGAAAGGCCCAAATATTACAGCAGAGAGAGCGCAAGAGATAGAAATTACATTTTTATGACTTTTTTTTTTTTCTTCTTGGGTGTTAAATTTTTGGTCTATAAACTGGAAAGGAAGGCTCAGACTTAAATAAATACATTTATTTTGAGTATTGGCCTTATTGAGCACTGTCCATCAGTTCTGCCTCTAGAGGGTTTCTCCCAGCAAGCTGCGACGGACGCTGCACTCCCCGACCCCACCGAAGGCAGAACCACACCAGGAACTCAAAACCAGGCCAGATCCTCTCCTTTATCTAAAGGGAAGTAAGTGCATCAATGTTCTTCACCGGTAGGACAACAAGGCCTTCTCTTTTACAGATAAACAACTGAGCTTAACTATGCAAGACGACGACTCTGTCCTCAAGGAAGCCATCCTTAGTTAATTTTGTCCTGGAATATATACAAGTTATTGGTGGCAGCTACAGCAATGATGTTCTCCATGGGATGCCACGCCGTGTGAAGAATCTTCTTGTTGAAGTCCAGACTGTCAACGCTAATTTCGTCCTTCTTCCTCTTCCCCCCTGTGCAGACCTTGCGGGGCTTTAGGATGGCACGAGGTTTGCTGCTCTCCCGGGACGCCTCCAGGGTGATGTCCCGCCGCGTGTTCCGGTCAAACATCCGGAAGAAGTTGTTGTAAGATCCAGTCATGATCGCGCTGTTTAAAAGCAGAAGAAAGGCCCGTCTTAGTATTAGCTCTCCAGAAATAAGTCTTCAAGCCCTGTCTTCTCTCTCTAACACACAAGGGGACTGCCAGACCGACCTCGTGACCAGGGTGCGGCTCCTTTCCTCTCCTCTCTGACATGTACCACTGCTCAGTTCCAGTTCTGGGCTTCAGCACTGCTTCCACTCCACCACTTTCTCCTCCAGGTCTTCTCCTGGTCCCCCCACCTGCCATCAGCACTCAGCCACAGACTGATGCTTTATTCACCTTAATGTGAGCAAGGCAGGTTTCCCCTTTGCTACCCTACCCCGTTATCCCGCGGTAACAGGAGTTGTGGTGGAAGCAAGGCCACTGTCACCTGTTCCCTTTCAGCAGACTGCCCCAGATCAAAGCGCCTTCTGACACCATGCACGTGTTGACAATGAGCACAGTAATGGATTAGTTAAGAAAAGTTGTCATGAACCAGTACAAGAAACCCCTCCTGTGACTGTGATGCAGCCCAGCAGAAACCATTCCAGTGTCTGTCCAGCAGCATCACGTTCACCTTTGAACAAAGCAGGAAAACAAGCACCTGGAAATGGTCTCATCCATCTGCTTTCCAGTGAACAGCCTGACTGTAACTCTCACCAGAAAACAGGCTGGAAATGGAGCCTGAGCTGTTCTCTCCTTTCTGTACTGAACGCTTCTCTCTACCCCTTGACCCTGGCCACGCTGCTGCCCCCCTGGCAGAAGTCCCACAGATTGCCAGGATGACCACCATGCAGCACTGCCTTCAGGGCACAAAAAATGAAGGACCAGGAGGAGAATGAGATACTATTACCACAAAATGTACCACTTGGACTGTGCTGGGGCCCTGAGTGAAAAATGTTCTTCAAGCACTGTAACTTCTTCTGTTCTCACCTTATAATGAGATGACCTTGCCTTAACTGTTTGTGTTTTACCCCTCAAAAACGATTGTCTGGAGTTGCTTTAAAAAAATAGACATAAGGGCCAGTTTCCCTGCATTTCTGCTTAGTGAAAAGCAAACACCACTTATTTTATCCATTTTAAGTCAGATCTTGTAAATACTGCTAGCAGTTGTGTTTTTTTTTTTATGAACTGACTGATACAGTGAATTTCTCCCCTCAACTCCAAGTCACTTACAATCTGGTATTTAGAGTAACCAGGTTCCACAACAGTAAATGTCAATCTCAGCTAGCACTGCTACAGCAATCTAGGTAGGCTCCACTTTCTCTGCTGACTCCTGCACACAGCTTGTGAGATTTCACTTCCCTGATCATTGTCCCCACCTGAACCATGCACATGTTCGTCAATATTTGAAGAATATTTGATCTTTTCTTCTTCAATATTTGATAAGATTCAGGCCAAAGACTGTTCCACAGGCTGATCATGTTACTGTCAAATCAAAACTGGTACCTTTCCACTGAACAGCTCGCAAGAGTTTGATAGCAGACAACTCACTGTTTAGGTATTTCAGACACACTCATAAAACTCTCACCAAAAGAAAGTAATTGCTGCTTATCAAGGCTGGAAACTGAGTTGCTAATGCTGAGGCAAAAAGAAGACATCAAGCCCAAAAGAAGGCCCAACTGACCTATCAGAACCGTTCCAGCAGCACTCGAACTTGTCAAAGATGCAGTCGTTCTCATAGAGGGAGCAAAGCTTGCTTCGAAGGTACTCGTGGACCTTTGGGAACATTGGCACTGGTGTTAGACACAGAGAAAGAAGGAAAGGAAGGGATATTTAAGAGAACTTGAACACCATACCTGGTATGTCTCTACAGGCCTGTTTTCCATGTTGAGATCCCAGACTTTAACAGAAAGGTAGTCTCTTGTCATCATGTAGCGGCCACTGTGACTGAATTTCACATCAGATATTGAGGATATAATTTCTGAAAAAAATGATCTGCTGCTAGGATCTTCAGGTTCTTCAAAAACTGTAGACAGAAAACACAATTACAAATGAAACCAAGTTTTTCAGCCTTGAACATGTTTCCGTACTTGAAAAACTTTAAATGAATATACTAGCTTATTTCTAAATAAAGTTGCCGTGAAATACTTTTAAAAAATAATCTCTTTTAAAACAATGTTACTGCTTTCAGTCACCAGAGTGCTAGATACCCATCTCCAACACTCTCAGCTGGAACACAGCACCAGCAAACTACAATTCACAGGTCTTGGGGATGAATCAGAGATAAAAGTTAAGAAACAGCCTGTGGGACCAGTAAACATTTCAACTGATCAACTAATCACGTTCAGCAGATGAACACAGCAACATCTCAAACACAACAGCTTAGTACATGACCTGTGAATCTCCAGACTACTGTGCAATAAGCTTTTATTGGATCTGACCAGAAGTTGTACAACACAACCTACTGAAATGGCATATTAGTATCTACACTTGAAATGCAATTGGTGTTGTTTCAGAAAGGAGACAAATGCATTATTTAAACTGAAGAGTCAGTCTTTGAACTTCGTGACACAACCTGCCCAGAACCCTATTTTTGAGTCGACCCTTTCAAAAGGCTGTTACTCAGTGACAAGCAGTTACAAAATAAAGTGCAAAGTAACTGAACACAACCCTAAGTTGACTAGTTGAGGTGACCTGGCACTCTGCAATTCCCACTACAAAAGTGTTTCCTTCCAATAGGAAAACCTTCTCTGCACTCCAGAGAGCTTACCTGCACGTATCAGTGTGGTAGGTCACCCCACAGGACTGGTATAAACCACAACTAATACCCTAGTGAACAACCCACAAGAGGCTGTGTGCAAGGCACACCCCTTAGGAAAACTGCTTTTCTCACCCACAGAAGTTCACGTGGCTGAGCAGACTAAGGAGCATCCATTCACCTTCCACCCCAGGAAACTGGCTGCAAACACTGTGTATTCCTAAGAATTAATTCTATTTTAGGGGCTGCAAACAGTCACAAAGGAAATGGATTCTGGCAGCATCAGCCCAGTTTCTAATGCACAAAGGTGAATAAACTGCCCTAAACTGGCATTTGATAAGCAGATACCTTTGAGAAGCACCAAGACTGAGTCTGGACAGAAGACAGGTCTCACTGGTGCCAAAAGCACTTGTTCCCATCAGTTTATGATGCATAAATGGGTAAACAGGAGCAGAGTCAGATGGTCAATTGTCTCATGCTACACTTCTGCTTGGTGATGGCCTAGAACAAGACAATTAAAATGTTCCATTCTACAAAGCTACCACCCTTACCTCGTACGCTCTTTACCAAGAAGCAGAACTTGGCAGGTTTATCTATAAGCAGACACCTGCACCCTCTCTTTGCATGAAACCAAAGGCCAGAGCCCCTCTCTCCCAGCCTCCCCACTTACACTTGGAGTGCCTGTCACAGAGGGCGGCGGAGCGCATGTCGCACAGGCGGATGGTGCCCTTGCTGCTGCTGTAGACAAACACGTTACAGTGGTGGGGGTGGAACTCGGCAGCAGTGATCACCTCTGTCAGCTCCTCCATGTTAGCAGGCTTAATATCTACAATATCTGGGAAGGGCTTTGTCAAGACACCTAACGTTCCACTGTCAGAGCAGATCGTTGTTACAAGATGTTAAAAACACAATGTACAGAACCGAGGCAAGAGCTTCATTTCCACCCTGTGCCATCTACACAAGTGACCCATGGAGATTTATAAATAAACAATCTATCTGGATTTTATAAATCAGCTTTTCACAATGCTGGAGATAATTTCAGACCCCTCTCGGGCCTCCTAGTGAACACTGAATATGCTCCACCTGTTCACCTAAAGCTCTGTAAAACTTAAATATTACCTGCTGCATATTTAGTATTTCCGTAACTTTCATTTCACTGCAGATTTGTCAAAGTAGGCCCTACTATCAGCTCTGGAGACAAAGGTTTGCAAAAAGATTTTGATTATATCATTTGACATGGAAAAAAACCCTAATTTTGCTTTCTTTAAGCACTGAGTGTCACTGAGTTAAGAGACCTTAAACTTGGGAAAGAAGTATCTACGGCAACAAAGGATCTAGTTTTCAAATGAAACTTTCAACTCTTATTTAAACTGACTGAACTCCACAAAGAAATGATGTTCCCCAAATTCCTCCATTTCTCTTTAGAAACCACACAATGACATTTCCACTGGCAGCATTCCACTGAAGGAATGCTTGCTCTCAAGAACAAGCAAGCACATCCTAAGGCCTGCTATCTCTGTATTAATCCTCCAGACTATAAAATCCTGCCATCTAATCCCTCGATTAAAACTCCTACCCTAATTAGTAAAATTAAAGTGATTCTCTTAACCATACAGAACTTTGGTGTGCTCCAGTGGTCGTAGAGAACAGAAAAAGGATACTAAAACTTCTATCTGTGATTTCTAAATGCCATAGGTTAATTCTTAGGTCGTCTGCAGAAAGGTATGTTTCATGATCACTATTTACTGAAATAGAGTTTATGTGATAAGTATGTGCATTTGCAAATATCCTTCTGGGACTTGCTTCTACCATTAGGTCCATGGGTTTCAATATTGGCACCTGAAACATGAAAAAGAACAGTCAATTTTGGAAAAAAAAATATAAATTAATTCAGAAGTTATTAATTAGCTGCACACTGCAGATTTCTGTGGATCAAGTGGATGAGGCTTCCCCCTAGCTCCTCCTCACTGAGCAGCAGGTGAGCAGGTTCAAGCTGCCCAAGGACACCCCCTGTTGTTGCAGTACACCAAGCTCAGCAGAACACTGACTTACATCATCCAACCAAGAAAAAAGTTATGACAGTGCCCAAGATAATCTGTCTTCCTGGAACAAGGAACAAATTAATCCAGAAGCTCTGTAATCGCTCTCACCATGTTTGCTCTCACAGTCTGTTTACATCAAGCTGCAATGATTACAATTAATCCAGTACTTTTTATGAGGCAATTTTCCCATTTCACCACATGAGTGCTCCCAGCCTGGGTGGGAAATCAAACCAGCACTACTGTGGATGCTCAAGACTGCCACTTAGAAATGCCATACTCCCTCTGCACAGGCTGCAGCTCTCGAGTGCTGCTTCTCTTCCACGTCTCCTTCTTTATAAAAAGAAACGGGAAGTATATTTCTGTGACTAAACATGCAAACAAAGCCTGCAACAGCCTAAGATACATCTACTCTGGTCCTCTAAAACCTGATAATTTTAACATACAGACATAATTCTAGGCAAGGATTTTTCCCCTTCTGCCAATTGTTCAAGCTTGTTCCTTCCACCATCTCTTCTTGTAAGATGTGGTGCCTGGCACAGCCTGCAGTTCAGCTCAACCCTCCTTTCCCAGATGCCAGTGATCTCCTGCAGTGGAATAGCCAGTACCATGTCAAACCACTAGGCCATATTCCAGACTCTCCACATTCCCAGAGGAGCAGTCTGCTCCTATGTAAAGGCAAGACTGTAGAACCCATCACTTCTTCTGTGCCTACTTCCAGCCTGCAGGCTAAGACACTGTATCATAACTTATTGCCCTGGTTTTAGATACTTTTATTAGATGCCCAATCAGATCTTGGCTCCCAGACATGAGCAGGACACCTTACAGAGGAAGCAGAGTCCTTTCCCAACAGGATTGTCTCAAGCTCACGTACACCTGAAGCTTGAGTTCAATATTCAATTTAAGCAAAAGGAAGGCATGACTATTCAAGTATACATTAGGTCTTCCAGATGCTCACAACTCACCTCCAACAGAAACACCTTCTATCTAACCAGAGAACACCCAGCACTGTTTGTCTTTTTGAGTCTTGTTTTTAACCAAAAGACCCAACAAGTACAATAAGAGCAATACTGAGGGGATGAAACGTTATTTTTTCCAGCTTGAATAACAAGATTTTATTGTATGTTATTACTGTCAGTAAATCAGCGTCTCTTTTTCTACAATTGGAACATACTGAAGCAGATGAAGGCTGTCCCTAACCAAATATTTAATTTTAAAAAGCAGTTTAAATTTAAAATCCATTTAAAACATGCCAAGATGTTTCAAGAAAAAACACACACCAAACTACTGGGAAGTTAATATCATTATAATCATGAGGTCTTGCCTCAAATTTTCCAGTGAAACCTTATTCATTATACATGTATTGTGAAGTGTCTCCATTGTTTATACAAATTTTCAGTGACCCTGAACAAGCATCATTTTTACTCCACACATTTATGTTGGCAACTCTGGTGACACAAAGATAGAGGAGTACATGCAAAAATTGTATTTAAAGTCAAAGAGCAGAAACATACCCGTAGTGCTGTGATTGTGAAAGGATCCCTAAGTCTTCCATCTTCATCTTTTAAATTATAACCTTCGGCTCTTTTATCCCTTTCACTTATTTTCCATAATTTAATAGTTTTATCTAAAACCAACAAAAATTCACATGCTTGAGAATGAATTAAATTCAAATTCAAATCACTAAATAATGGCAGAGTGGATATTATTTCCCTCTACTTCCACTACTTGCCACAGAAAGGACCCTGCTGGAGCTCTTTGGCCAGCAGGGCAGGAGGCAGCACAGCCCTCCTGCCTGCACTTGAAGCACTCTGCCTTCAGCCACATTGTTCAGCACAACTGACACATGAAAACCAAACAAAAACAGCACCAGGCACATCCACTTGGAGGATGGGCGTGGGTAATGCATGAGAATACCAGTACATGGAGAGGAAATAAAGATGGATTCCCTTTGAATTCCAGTGTAATGTTTGAATAAAACACAGTGCCTGGGCACTAAGGGCCCTTGCCCACCCTTCAACAGAATGACCCTCCTGCAGGGAATTGGCACACACCAGCTACCAACATTCACCAGTAAGCTTTGTTTGACTATCTAAGTTATTTTAGCAGATAAATTCTACAGAAAAACCCCACAAATCCATGGATTACTTACACTAACTATCTAAATGAAAACCCAGCTGGCCCCAGGTGTCTCTAAGGGACATCCTACAGCTGGGAGGGAGGACAGGCCTTGCCCCATGGTTTCAGGGCTCCTTGTCCTCCTCAGGCCCCGGCTTTCCAAGTGCACAATGTAGGTACTCACTGTGATCCTCAGCTAACTGGAAACAAACCTTTCCTCCCCAAAGTACTGCTTGTCTTTAAGGCATTTAGAATGACACAGTTTAAAGACTACTTTAAGCTTAGTAAAGACTTAGATCCAAGTAAGATTATTCTAATGTCCAAGTCATTCCTGTTTTTAAAATTTTGCATAGCAGGCTGGATATCAGCCCTTACATAGAGTTATTTAAGCACTAGGCAAAAAGTGATCTGAACTGTTATGAACGAGCCCATTTCTCTGAAAAGAACAGCAAGTTCTTCCATGCACAGCTCTGCATTCACATTTGCAACCTGCTCCATGGTGCACCAAAATAAACAGACAACACTCAGCCAGGCCTAATGCTTAATAACCACTACTAAAATACTGGGAGAAACAAAAACACTGAAGTGAATGAGAACTTGTAATTTTTGCACTGCTCTTGTGTATTTTAAGGAACACAGTGACAATGGTACAAATACACTCTTCCTAGAGTGACTATTATCTTTTAAACAGTTGCTTTTCATAACACACATGGTATTTTGGGTACTGAAAAGGAGCACTGTAACCACAGCGTTTCAATTTCAAATGCCTTTATTAAAAATTCATCTGGGATCACAAAAAAATCCATTTAAATATTAGGATGATCAAGTCAAATTCAGACTTCTGCTACAGTTCAGGTTACTGGGAACCTGTTTATACAAAACCTATAAAGCAGAGTAACAGGGTATGTAAATTGATAGTCAGTATATCCACAGAACACAGCTCTGGATCTGCCTATTCTGTTACTGCTTCATTATTTTTACATTCATAAATCAGTAATTTACAGAGTATTACAATTAAAACGTATTTTGCATGTAATTGGAGAAGACATTAAAACAACCCCAAAACACTCCAGGAAAAAAACTCACAAGTGGATCACAGGTGTGGCAATATTCAAATGACATAAAAAGTTGTTTGTGCAAAAATAAAGTGTCCTTACCATTTGTAGACAGCAGGAAATGAGCAGCATTCTGTTGTGGTAACCACCTAATTTTATTAATTTTCTCCTCAATTTCTAGACTTTTCAAGTAGTCAAACTCAGGTTCATGACTCTGAAAGGTACTGTAAACATTATATTCTCCCCTAGAATGAGGACGGCTCTTATTCTGCAAGGAAACACAATATATTTTTTAAGCTGATGTTACTCAGTTCATTAAGAATTGTACATACAAACTAATGACTAGAAATTGTCAATTAGAAAATAAACTTTTTACAACACATCTTGATGAATGTTACATTTTTCCTCAATGATATTATATCTAGTTTAGCATCATTATAGTGCACACAGAGTTCCTCGTTAAAAATGTTTAAGCTTATGTGTACTCAAGAGACCAAAGCCCATCCAAGCACTTCAGAGGCACTGCTGTCTGCAGAGCAGACCTTGCCTTTACCTGGAGGAGTTCCAGGCTATACTCTCTCTCCCAGGCAGTTCTAACAGAGAAGTGAGCTGCATCCTAAATCCTGAACCACCAACTCCATGTCATTAGTTTCTGCACTTCACTGAACCTCCATTCTCTTCCTCATCCAAAACATGGAAGGAAGCAACATCAAGTATGAGCACTAGATCTAGCTCCTGTCCTACTCACTTTAAAACATGGTGTGTCCAGAAGTGGTGTCAAGGCTTATAGTTAAGCTTTGACAACCTTTTTAATAACAAAAACTTGAAGGCTGGAATGACCACATTTTGATCTAAGCCGTTCTCCCATGCGCACCATGATGCACAAAGACTAGCGCAAGTACACTAATAACCTTTCCCCTCACAGAACAAGAAGACACCTTGTACTGTCCTCAGCTGGTAGCTGTGGTAGCAAGGAGCAGAGATCAAAGTCACAAGTATCCACAGATTTGCACTATCAGATTTAAGGCAACCAGTTTTCAGGCTTTTCAAGGAAGCTCATGTTAGATAGCAATTAATGTCTGGAGAGCTGCCCTACTTGTAGGGCTGCAGTGCCCAGAACTTTTGAAAAGCGCAAACTCCTCAAAACACAATGGAAAACCTCTCTCTGGAGGGGCAGCAAGGCCCTGGCACAGGCAAGAGCAGGAGAAGGCAGCCCTGCACCCATGGAACAGGCCACCACTGCCTCCCACCTTGCAGCTGCCCAGCCAACCTTTGCTCTGGCACTTGTGATGCTTCCACACTCAACTCGGCAGCTCTGATAAGGTTATTGCAGCCAAGGCTTTTTTCCCCCTGCAATCTCTCACAGTGTTAGTTAACTCTGAGGCTCTACCCTGTTTTACTGCCTACCTGTCGTTTAACTTGTAAGCACTTTGGACAGGATCCTCTCCACCAGCACTGTCCAGTGTTGTTACCTACATTCCTTGCCCAGCCACCTGCTGTCTGGGAAGGTGCCCTTTCTGGCAGTGACCAGTGCTCTCACTCTACTCACACCCTTGGTTGGAACCATCAGCTGCTCGGAACTGCAATCATGGGCACAATGAACAACCTTGCAGCTTGCCTCCCACATTGAAGTGTATGGGAAATTTTATAACTAGCCTAAGTTGTCATCAACCTAGTTAATCTAGTCTAAAATCTGTATGTTTAAAAACACTGGTTGGAAGATTTTAAGATTCCAGTATAATACACTTATTTTAGAATTTTTTGCCTCCACTCCAGAAATTCTGCAGTTTTGCACAGACAAGAGAAATCACTCTTATGCCCAACTCTTCCCTACAGACTTGGTTGGTTTGTTGTGGTTTTTTTACACTGAGGAAATGACGTGACAGCTGGGCTCTGGCTTACAGAACAGCTGAGCACCACCAGCTGAAAGCCCACCAGGAATATTCCTGCTCTAAACAAGCATCAGGAAAGTCAGAGATCCTGAGCAGGTGGGCACTTCTGACCTTGAGCTCTCTGTACCTTAGTTAAGTCTATACAGCAGACTAAATGATAAATGAGCTATGAACTGTCTAGGTGTTGCACTGTTACATTTCAGCAGCTTTCTCAGCTACAGTATTTTTATTTCACTACCTCTCAAAATCCTTACAGTAAAAACTGACAGGTCACCTTTGGTAAAAGGCTTTATAAATAGTATCACAGTAAGGATGGAATGCAAAATACCTGACTACAGTTTGTTAACTGAGCAACCTGTGAACCACACAGTGGAAAAAGTGGGATTCTGTGAAAACAACCCACAGCACCTGGGATTAGGATACTTCACACATAAAGAAGCTGAATTCCACAATAATTTTGGTATTTCTAATCCAGAAGGCTCAAAACCAAAGGCTCAAATTCTCATCAGCTCTTCAAAGGAAATAAGAAACATGCTCTTCAGCAGTGGTGGAGAGGGGAAGAAAAGCCATGTGGAATACTGACTTTTTAAAGGACACAATTCCAGATTTCTCTCGGACATGAGAAGGTATGACACTCATTTTTCAGCATTTAGTGCACTTTCCCAATACATGCTGTTTTTCTGGATATCAAAAGCTCAGTGATGTATCTGCAGATGAATGGTCAGGCAGTTACAGCCCTATCACAGAACTGAACAGCACTGCAAACAGCCAGCTGAAAAACTGTGTTACTGTAACACACAGAATCTTCCTACCCTCTGACCTGAAATGCTCAGTTGTTTCTGGAGAAATGGCTGTTCCCACTATTTTTGATTTACAGGATCCTGAGACACATCAGATGCCTAATTTTTTAACAATCTCAAGGCTGTACTTGCAGCTTAACGTATCCTTTTTTATAAGCTCTTCTTACATGATCTTCTAAAGCACTACAATTTGTCTTTGATCACCCTGACCAAGTGTAAAGTTTAAGAGAAAGTCCAAAGGCAATTGTGCAAAATGTTACTGAGCATACTAGGCACAAACAGAGAACTCACTGTACTTTTGGGACTTTTTTTTTTCTTTTGAAAGCAGGGAGGGGAACCACCAAACTAACCTACTATGGTCAGCACAAGGCAAATATTTAGAAATGTGTGGCTAATCCACGGTTTTCTGGGAAAAGTATCCAACCATTTAAACATCACAGAATGAAAAGATGAAGTGAGACTGTGCAACACAAGAACAGTGTAGTAACAGTACTTTTGTTTTTCAAGTCACTGACCTCTTGTTCCCTTTGAAATATAACCACTCTGCCACCTTTGTCTCCTGTTGCAAGAAGATCACCAGAGTAATTAAATTCAACTGTTGAAATAATATCAGCTGTAAACAAAACAGAAATAAAATAGCACTGTAATGTGTAAATCAAATCAAGATGTTTCAAGACTTGAACACAAACTTACAACTTACATTAATGCATCCACAACTTTTATTTACGTTAGCATCCACAAACACTACTTTATTTACGATCTAAAACATTTCCTCATTTCTCAATTTTTTAATCTTTTGACAGCTTTTAATCCTAAAACACAGAAAAACCAAAACAAACCATGACTGAATAGTCCTGGTTGGAATGGACCTCTGAGATCACAGAGTCCAACAAAAAGAAATAAATAAAGGAGAAACCATATTGTTTTGGGGATCCAAACTGTGCCTTCCACCTGTTGCCAGTAAATGCTGACACATGTAATGGAGAGAGGCCTGCCCAGAGGCTCCCAAAGCAGAAATCCTGTGGGATCCCTTTGGAGCAGCACTGCAGCCCCCATTGACCACACTGAGTCTGAGGCACCATGGCTGTTCCCCTAAGCTGAATATTCACCTGGTTATTTCAGGAACCTCAGCTGGGCACCCTCTCTGCCAAAGGGGGAAAAAAACAACAACAAAAAAAACGAAACCAAAAGAAAGAAAATTCTTCCAGCTGAGAGTCCTGACCCAGCACTGTGCAGGGGCTCCAGTCCCACACAACACACCAGAGGCAAGGGTGAGTGCAGTGCAAGGAACAGGAGAGCAAAGGAAAGGATGGCAGGGCCTTCAGTTCTGACTGATTTCAGTGCCCTTGGGACTTACCCTTGAAAACAACCAGCATTTATTTACCACTGCACACCACAATTAATCTTTGGGATGGCAATAAAAAAAAAATTGCCCTTAAACAATCTCTAACCAAGGGGCAGAGAGATAAGGGGCTGTAAACGTCTGTCACAGGCTTCAGGCATATGGCAACAAAACCCACAAACCACTCGGCATAAAACTGCAGGTAAACATTTATTTACTGATAGTGCTGCCTGCTTAGCCATGCAAATATTATATTTCATATTATGCAGGTATAAATATGGTAATATTTGAAGTACATTATAGCAGTTAGTTTCAGAGTTAGCAATTGGAGACTAGATGAAAACTACCTTCCTGTATTGATTGTTATGTGCTATGTTATACATTTCTTTCAATAATCTCTCATTCTTATGAGGAAGATTATTAGGAAGTCTAACCAGTCTTCCCAATATATAATTCATATTTCATCTTTTATTAACAGATGTCCTTGAAATAGTGTCTAAAGATCATGACTTACCTTATTTGCCAAAAAAAAAAAAAAAAAAAAAGGCATTTCTACAGATTTATCCCAACCACAAAATCATACCACTAATCTGGTTGTGGACAAGTCTATTTTTATATTCACTTTTCTTTAAAAGATTATGAAAAGATTACATTTTGGTGAAAAACAGGGTGATGGCTAAGCCCAAATCCTCAACAGACCCACAGTGTAAACCCAAACTCACCCCCTTGCTTGCCACACTCCACAGTGAACACACCAATCTCTAATCAGCTGTTCCACTTCTTACAACTAACTGCATTCCTAGTTTCCAGCTCATCTCTCCAGCCCACCTCCCCCTCCATGCATAGAGGGATCCTCACCTGCCACCGTGCTTGCCCAGCTGCACTGACCAGCATCTCTCAAGTTCTCATCAAGCACAGAGCTCTCTGCAACCCTGGCCCTGCCCTAATGACCCCTCCAGGTTGGCTGAGCAGCAAACTCCTTTGCCTTTTTACTACAAATGCTGGCAGAATAAAAATGAACCCCCCTCCTCACCAATTCCACACTTTGAAGCTCATTTCTGGTTCATAGCCATTTGCCTCTGTAACAGACTACTCAGAAATTATGAAAATACAAACTCCCCTACCAATCTTTCCCCTCTCCCAGTTGCTAAAATGAATTTTCAGGAATAAGTAGTTAAATACAGAAGAGAGCATGTGGTGTAAAGGTTTCACTAGTACGAAATGATCTCTTACTTCAGAAATTGCCTTAGAATGATGAGCTTCTAGAGCACCACATTGATAAAATCTTTGTATACGCACATACAGACACACTCACCAATGTCACATTATCAGTATTTAATACCTATCCTTCCTATACTATAAATAAAGGTACTCAACAGATGATGGACAGTTTAGATGACTATAAAGAGATCAGCTGCTAGCTCACTGATTTCCCAGTCAATCTTGGTCACACTTTTTATCTCAAGCAAATTAAAACTTTACATTTTAAATGTAAAGTCAACACCATTTGTCTGTCACAGCTACTGCCTACTAGCAGTGCTATCTAGCCAGCAAAATCTTAGGTTCCTTTACGTTAAGAACTGTGGAAACACATTAAAACACAGATCCTACCCAAATCCTATTGTTTTAAACAAAAAGTAAATGCTGTACTGAAATAGGCAAGTGAAGGGGGCATGTCAGGACAGAAATATAGAAACTTTATTCAAATATTTTCTCAGTTAAAAAAAAAGTTACATGAATCAACTTTTTATATTTTAACAGTACTAAAGTTTATATATATATATATATATATAAGTATGCACTAAAACCAGTTTTCCCCATAGCCATGTTTAATTGAAGCATATGGATCCCCCGAACAATTCCATCAGTACCTTCAGCAGTATGCTATCTCAAAGCAGGCTAAAAAAATATTTTGAGACTAGGAGTAAACTACAAAATTCATCCCAAAGCAATCACTGTGCTCTGCTCAACATTACCCATCTACAAGGCTCTTTATTTCCAAGTCACCTCCAAACTTTCAGGGAAACACAAAGCAAGCCTTGCAGCTTCTTAATCACATTAACTTTGGAATTTTAAAAGCTTTTTTATTTTATTTTCATGTCTCATACCTTTTTCTTATGGGCACAAGCACCACTGTTATTTCCCAGAGAACATTTCAGCCTTCACACCAGCAAAATAACTCACAATGAAATGTACAGAAAGGGTGAGGAAAGACAAACTATCCCATCTGCTCAAGGACCGCATCCTAATGACCTCTTCTCATATAGAAGACACTGTAATTATGACTTTACAGAACAGAGATGCAGCTTTCCTTCCACTTTTGTTCCAGCATGCCTAAGATCCTCTGTTCTGGAAGCAGCCATGTAAACTTCCTCCTGTAAACTAAAAGTAAATGCTGTACTGAAATAGGCAAGTGAAGGGGGCATGTCAGGACAGAAATATAGAAACTTTATTCAAATATTTTCTCAGTTAAAAAAAAGTTACATGAATCAACTTTTTATATTTTAACAGTACTAAAGTTTATATATATATATATATAAGTATGCACTAAAACCAGTTTTCCCCATAGCCATGTTTAATTTAAGCATATGGATCCCCCGAACAATTCCCTCAGTACCTTCAGCAGTATGCTATCTCAAAGCAGGCTAAAAAAATATTTTGAGACTAGGAGTAAACTACAAAATTCATCCCAAAGCAATCACTGTGCTCTGCTCAACATTACCCATCTACAAGGCTCTTTATTTCCAAGTCACCTCCAAACTTTCAGGGAAACACAAAGCAAGCCTTGCAGCTTCTTAATCACATTAACTTTGGAATTTTAAAAGCTTTTTTATTTTATTTTCATGTCTCATACCTTTTTCTTATGGGCACAAGCACCACTGTTATTTCCCAGAGAACATTTCAGCCTTCACACCAGCAAAATAACTCACAATGAAATGTACAGAAAGGGTGAGGAAAGACAAACTATCCCATCTGCTCAAGGACCGCATCCTAATGACCTCTTCTCATATAGAAGACACTGTAATTATGACTTTACAGAACAGAGATGCAGCTTTCCTTCCACTTTTGTTCCAGCATGCCTAAGATCCTCTGTTCTGGAAGCAGCCATGTAAACTTCCTCCTGTAAACTACTGAGAGCAGCAAGACCTATGAATTTACAATAAGATATCAGTCTCGCAATATTCGTTTCCTTCCAGACATGAAAAATTAATGTTTAGCTTCACTTTTGGAAAGGAGTTTTAACTTATTACACTCTACATCCACAGTAGGAAACTCCTAGCTGTTTTCAAAGCTAGTATATTAAAAGAAGCGTGGGGGGAAATTGCTGGCAACTGAATTATGATTCTGTAGAATCACCAAATTTAAAAGCACTAAGCACTTCCATGGGTAGTAAACACACTCCCAGCACATTAGAAGGCTGCAAATATCCATCATTATATTAATGTACTAGAAATCATTCTCAGTGACTCCGGAGACTAACCTGCAAGCCTAGACTTAAGTTTCAAAATTCAGTATAAATGCTCTAAACCTTTTAACAGCACTGCTGAATACCAATCGTCCTGCATCACAAACCTCCTATCATCATTCTGCTAAAGTTCTGTAACCCTCAAAGCCTCCTGGGCCAGTAACACAGGGAGCGAAGGGGGATGAGATGACAAGAGACTAACATTTGTTAGGATTCTGAGACAATTACAGGCTTAGACCTGCAAAATAACTTGATCCCACACAGGCAACCTGCACCAGTACCAGTGCTTGGGCTCACTGTTTAGACAATAGAGAATGCAGGGAGATGCAGAACATCTAAATTAAGACACCTGAAATGAGCTACTGTGAACTCTTCCTCTCTAATCTGGCTGCACATTGCTACTATTACTAATCCAGTTATAAGCTAAAAACTGAAACCCCATCCCCATAATTACTTCATAGCTCCTTGAATCAGTGAATGAATTTGCAGCTGAAGTACAAACTTAGGACTAACACTAACTAGACAAAAGCACCATCAACTTCTTATTCTTCTAACGTATTCAAAGACTTTTGTCAAAAGCTCACTCCTCAGACACTTGATGAACAAGAAAGTCGGTCACTATCTAAAAAGGAGGCTTCTCCAACTCCTATGGGATTTTAGCTTAAAAGTTTCCAGATCTGTAACAGACAACACGCAGCTTCACATTCAGTACACAGACTGGCAAAAAAACCCCACGTTAGCAGACCTGTCTCCTGGCCCTCCCCACTCCCTTGAAAAATATTTTTAATACCGAGCACCTTTTCTC